AGAGAAAGACAAAGAAAGAAGAAAGAGAGAAAGAAAGAGAGGAAGGAAGGAAGGAAGGAAAGAGAGAGAGGGAAAGGGCAATGAACATTCTCAACCATGAAACAATCTAAGAAATAGTACAAACCCGAGACTTTGCTGGGGGAAAATATGCTTTAAATTATACCAGTAAAATCAAACCAATAAAGAAATTAATGGAAAATATGGATGACTCAGATCATTTTTATTCAAAAAAGTGAGAGCCAAAATCATGTTCACTCACACAACTTACTGTCTACATTTATTTACATGACTTCATTGTTCCACTGTTGTCATCGATATAACTCTACTCTTCCAGGAAACTCTTGCTCAGAAAGTCAGAAGTTGAAAATAACTTTTTTGTTAATTCCAGGAATTTCATGAAAGACACAGCAACTCTTCAATAAAAAGCATAAACAAGAGTTTACATCTCCAGGCTCTCTAAACCCCTCATCTCAAAATCTACCAGTGTTAAACTGTTTTACCACGTCCTTACCGAATTCTAAGCAAGTCCCCATCTTAAAAGCCCAGTCTTAACCTAGACTTTAAATCACTCATAACTATAACCTGACTTTGGCCCATTTCCTTTGTGGGCCAAGTGATACCAAGACACCATCAATACAGTGCTCCTCTTACCATGGTAAGAATAAATTCAGCTTTGTCTTATCATTGCTTTGGTAACATTTCTAGTGAAGCTAGCATTCAACAAAAGTCAAAACTGGAAAGTAAAAAAGCAACATAAATCAAGATAAGAAAATACATGAAAACCCAAGCATACCTCAAAAGATCAGAATAGGGAGGAGGAGTATGGTGTATAACAGCACAAGGCAAATAAGACTATGAAGACCAGCCGGGCGCAGTGGCTCACGCCTGTAATCCCACCACTTTGGGAGGACGGGGCAGACGGATCACAAGGTCAGGAGATAGAGACCATCCTGGCTAACACAGTGAAACTCCATCTGTACTGAAAATACAAAAAATTAGCCAGGAGTGGTGGCACACACCTGTAGTCCCAGCTACTCGGGAGGCTGAGGCAAGAGAATCACTTGAACCCAGAAGGCAGAGGTTGCAGTGAGCCGAGATGCACTCCAGCTTGGGCGACAGAGCAAGACTCCATCTCCCGCACCCCCAAAAAAAAGACTATGAAGACAAAGATCCTGGTCTGGTCAATGTCTGACATGGACCTGACTCCCTTAAGAATATGGTCCTGCTAGATCTGGTGGCTCACACCTGTAATCCCAGCACTTTGAGAGGCCAAGGCAGGAGGATTACTTAAGCCAAGGAGTTCAAAACCAGCCTGGGCAATATAGTGAGACCCCATCTCTATGAAAAGTAAACAAAGTTGCCAGGCATAGTGGCATACACCTGTAGTCCCAGCTACCCAGAAGGCTGAGGTGGGAGGATCACTTGAGGTAGGAGATCAAGGTTGCAGTGAGCTGTGATCATGCCACTGCACTCCAGCCTGGGCAACAGAGCAAGACCCTGTCTCAAAAATTTAAAAATAATAATAATATGGTCCTAAGACATAGCTATTGCATTCCTACTTGAGGGACTAAGGAACAAAGACCAGTATTATATCTTTGCCTTCTATTTTGAGGAGTTATTTATCAAAAGTGTAGATCAAGGACTGTCTACTTCAGAAGCATATTCTATCCTGGGCCCTATCCTTAATCAGAATCTCTGGGAAGAGGTATGGAAATTAGCATATTTAATAAGCCATGCCCTTTAATAAACTCTTACACCAGTGTCAGAGAATCACTGAGCAAAATGTCCAATCATCATATTAAATTACCCTTTTCAACACTGGGCATCTAATTAAAACAGCTGAGTGCTTCTGGATGGAATAGATAGTGGTAAGGTAATTCAGTAAATCAAATGCTAAAACTTTTTCTCCCTGAATCCAACCCCTCTTCTCAAGTTCATGGACTGCATTCCCCATCCACTCTCCCCTTACTGTATAAGTTGACTGATTAGATAGCAATATTGCTAGTAAGGCACAGCAACCTGACTTCTTCTTTGCAGCATTTATCACAACTGTAATGTCTTTCATTGTTCCATTATTGGCTTAAACTCTATTTTCCCTGCAGGATAGTAATCTCTACTAGCAGAGGGAACAAGTCTGTCTTATACACAGTCATAGCTCCAAATCCTACCACAGTGCTAAGACATGATAGATCTTCAATAAATAGCTGTTCAATTAATTAAGAAAATCATGGAAAATATCAGTCAAATACAATGATTTCAGTTCTACTGAAATCGATGGTGAGACATTCTCTCTCTAATAGTAATCAGTCAACAAGTTGTATTGTTTCCTAGGATCACTCCGTGAAAATAAAATAAAGCCATCGGCATGAAAGAGAAAGTCTGGGTAGGAATTAGAACAATGGAAAGAGTAAATGGTTTGGAACCTTATGGGAACATTTTAAAATCCAAGATAATACATTTGTGTAACCTCAGGCTCTCTGTGAAACCTCAGGCAAGCTGATCCTTCTGAGATCCCCGTTGTCAGTGAATTGGATGTTATATTAGCTACTTCACTGACTTGTGGGTTAGATGGATTGACAGACTATGACCCATGGGCCAGATCTGGCCTGTAACCTGTTCCTGTACAATCTGGGAGCTAAGAATGGTTTCTACACTTTTTTCCAAAAGAATTAAGCTATTTTATTTGACATGTAGTAGATAGTTACAAAGCAGGTCCATATATTTAGTTTTCTGATATCCTAATGTATTTCCACAAACCTTTTAAGTCTACAATTTTATACAGTTTTCCATCAGGGAAGCAAGATACATATAATTTTTTTGTATTTAACTAATTAACGGTTTTAAGAGGGTTTAGTCTCTAAATCAGTAACAATTTAGTCATAACACCATACAAACATTTAAATATTCAGGAAAGAGATTTTTAAGATTATCGCTTAGTCTTATAAAATGGTGAATTTTAACCAAATTGATACCTCTGTATTCTTATTTATGTTTCCTGTACTCTTACATCACACTGCTTGGCAAGTAATGTAAGTTTTGATGTAATTTAAAAATTCAAGTAGTTGTAAACAAATTCTAATTTGTTAAACAATTCATATATTCCCCTTTAGTTACTACACTACCTCAGGATTAATTCTCCTTAAAAAAGTAATCATCCCACATAGAAAAAAACTGCAGAGCTTCATCTCTTCCTTAAATATTTTCGAGTACTATAAGAATACAAATCCATAAAAACCTGATTAAAATTTGACATTTCGTCTTGCTTTACTAATTATGGAATAATAGAAAGATGTAAAAACATGTTCCTTAATATTTATATTCTTAACAGAGAAATATAAAGAAATACTGCAATTATGGTTATGGGCTATGTTCCAGCCTCTTCAAGTACAGGACACAACTATGGTTCCTACCAGTAAGGAGAAATGAACAATCAGTCTTACAAAACACAAAAGAAAGATGAGAGGCACAAAAAGACAAACTGACTTTGGCTTTTAAGAACCTAATGTTAACCCTGAAATGCCAGATTCAGTAACACCACAGCAAAACAAAAGATTTCAGCAGCAAGTCACCACTTCACACAGTATTAAGAATTCTGAAATACGTAATAGCCTTCCTCCCACCTCCCACTCAATCTACTGGGTCATCTTTTTGCTTTTCCTGCTTTTTCACTGCAGACAGTTCAAGGCTTGCCCACTGCATCGGTTCAGCTTTTCTCATAGTGATCTCAATCTTTGTTGCAGTTGTAGTTACATAACTTCACTTTACATCAGTCACACCCCATATTTTCACATTTTGATCAAATTCCTTCTCTCCTTCAAATACAATGTGCACATTTAACAATGTGCTATGGGCTTCTACTCGACTAACTTCTGGAAGTGAATCTTTAGCATATACTGAAATGGTAACTTCACCTCCAGTCCGATGCCAGTTATGTGTACATGGAACAACTTTTGTCCCAGCATCCTTTTTAGTCCATATGTGTTTCCCTGTTGTACAGCCCTCTTGGGCTAAGAATGTATTAAAGTCAGAAGATTTTCTTCTACAACAGCTTAGGTATTTCATCCCCTCATGGAAAATAGGCACTCCAGATTGATATACACAGACTTCTTCTAGACTTTCTAGACACCAATATGTCTTTGAACACCCTCCATTCTTACATGAGGTCCCAACCTTAATTTCATCATTGTCTTCTTCTTTCTTATCTTCGTCATTCCCTGATGACAGTTTGTCAAGTGCTTGTTTTGGAAAGGCAGATATTTTTAATTCCAAATTTGTCATTGGTTCATCTGGGCTTGGCGTTTTTATTGCTTCTACTAACTTAGGAGCTTGAATGATGTGTTCTGAAATTTGGGTTTCAATTCAGATAGTTCCTTCTTCTCAGTAGTCTTGACTTCAGGTTTGACTGGCTCAGGTGGCTTCTCACTATTATGTCTACCTTATGTATAGCCTACAATGCTTAAAAATCAGAAAAATCCATTGTTCTTCTCTTACAGCAAGACCAACCCTTTAATGTACCGTGAAAGACTGGGACACCTGGGTGGTACATGCAAGCATCATCGGAATTGGTCTCAGGATCGAAGCACTGACCGCAGCCCCAGTTGTAGCACAGCAAGGCCATTTTCTTTTCCCACCATCACAGGCAAGGCCCAAACACTGGGAACAGCAAGAGGATGTGTTAGCCACTCCCGTGTCGCTAGCACTAGTCTGACGACTGAGGAGACTGCCAGCTTCCGGACTACACAATTTTTTTTTTAAAATAGAGACGAGGTTTCACCATGTTGGCCAGGCTGGTCTTGAACTCCTGACCTCAGGTGTTCTGCCTGCCTCAGCCTCCCAAAGTGCTGGGATTACAGGCATGAGTCACCATGCCCGGCTAGTTTTCACACTTTTAAAGCATTCAGAAGAAGAAGGAAAAGGAGGAGGACATAAAGGCAGAGGAGGAAAATAAGGTAAAGTTTATGAGGCCTGCAGAGTCTAAAATTCTATTATCTTGTCCTTTACGGAAACAGTTTATTGATCTAATGATGATAAAAGGCTAGAGAGCGGATATAGGTAGTTGGCGTAGGATAGTGAAGGTGCTAACTCAAAGCAAATTGGTTTTGATGGTCTTTATTAACAAGTATAAAGAAAAATATTTACTAGGTCAATAAATGCATACCAAGTGCCAGAGAAGGTGTTTTCTCCAATAACAAAATCTCCTCCAGAAAAGTAGCTGTAATTGGAATCACCAACAGGTTAAGTTTACAGTGATCCAATGTTATTCTCCAAGCTCTGACTGTCTTCTCAACAGGCTGAAGATACAAATTAAGAGGGGACGTGGTATGAATCATCGTCCCTGATTCTGCCAAGTCCTCGAAGACTGATTTCTCTAATCAAGTCAATGCTGTCATAAAACAATTCAGTGAATATAAGTTAGGTGACCAACTCATCACAGTTTACCTAGGACTTACTCAGTTTTAGCATCTGAAGAACCCCCTCAGTCCTAGACAAACAAGGGTGGTTACTCACCCTAATATACTGAGTATAAAGGAATGACTTAACTGCTTCCAGATGAGCTGGAGAACTTCAGGGAAAAAAATTGTAAGCTCAGGATTTTACATTCCCCACCTAAAGGGAAAGGACCTGAAGCTGTCTATGACTGCTCAAAATGAAAGTTTTGCCTTATATGGGCATTGGATTACAGGTGTCTGCAGATGATAAGTAACTGCTTTGCCATTACATGCTATAAACAAGTGTCCTTCTTACCAATGCAAACACAGTTATTACTGCCTATCAATTTAATCTCATCCAAGAACCAATTCCAGATAATCCAGAACCAATTCACAATAACCATCCTTAAGATTTTGTTCTCATAGAACCATTACAAACCTCAACTTCTAGAACCATCAGCGTTCAATTAGAGAATCAGAACCTCTATAAGTGACATAAAATGGGGAATTTATTAAGGAATTAGACGTTACACAATTCTAGGAGTTGGTGGTGCCACAGGATACATTCAAAAGCAGAAAACACAATTGTACTGCTTCAAGAGTAAACTCATTCATTCCAGGTTAAACGCAGCAATTTAGTTTGTCATGTTCTGCCTTTCTCCCAGAGATGGCAGAGAAGGTCCTGAAGAAGGGTCATGGCAAAGAGTAGTGGTGAGAAATATGGAGTTGGGGGTAAAGGGGAGATAACTGATTGTCCCTTCATATCCTGGACCCTACACTCTGCTGCCATCTAGTGAGATTATGATCGCACTCGGTGCTCAGAAGACAGTCCACACAAGCATTCATTCACTGAGTTCCTTCCCTTCCCACACATCTCTGGTCGTATGGTCCACACCTTTTTCCTCTATGTGTCTCTCATCAAGAATATGAGACTTTCGCAGGTCTACCAAGACTCTCTGTCTCTCTCTCTCCTAAAACTGTGCCCTTCTCAAGGACATGGGAAAAACTGGCAGCTCTTCCATGCCGTCCCTCAGGGCAATCAAAATTACAACAGACCATTTACCCTTTGAAACTGTGTTTTATGGTCCTTCTTTCTTAGTGGCATCGGATCCTCATGATATCATGAAACACCTCCTTGTGTGGCTTCAGGCAGAAATTGATTACAGGACAGATGCTCATACTTCCTGGGATTCTATCCCCCTCCTTCAGAGAGCACACAGGGCTCCTCCTCAGAAACTTCACATATGTTCAGCTCTATCTCTACCTCACCAACCCCTCTCCCTTTTCCAGACCACACAAGGTTTATGGCTTGTGTTTTGTCTTCTTTCTTGTTTGTTTTTGCTAGATTCATGTTTCACAATTTTGGTGGAATATTCTAGCTCTTCTGTACAGATGGAAAAGACTATCACGTTACTAATGTGTATGAGCAGGCAAGGCTGGAGCGTTCTCTACAGACACGGTCATGGTGTCGAGGCAGCTGCTAGAGCTCTGCTGACAGATTGGTGTCGTATCCTTTGACATCATGCGTGTCAGTCAAGAAACAGGCTGCCCCAATCTAGGGCTTCTGAGGCAAAGTAAATAGTGAAACCAAGACATGAGAGTGCTACTGATAGAAACAAGACTTTATAATACAAAATTGAAAGTTTATACTTTCCACTCCAAGCTTGCCAACACTAGTTGAGAAATCAAAAAATTAACAAATCCTGGCAGGGCTCAGTGGCTCACACCTGTAATCCCAGCACTTTGGGAGGACGAGTCATGAGGATCACTTTACCTAGTTCGAGACCAGCCCAGGAAACAAAGGGGATACTTGTACTTAAAAAACAAAAAATTAAATTAGACGGGCATGGTGATGCATACCTGTAGTCCTAGCTACTTGGAAGGTTCAGTGGGAAGGATCACTTGAGCCCAGGAGTTTGAGGCTGCAAGTAAGCTATAATTGCACCAATGCACTCCAGCCTGGGTGATAGAGCAAAACTCTGTCTCTGTAAGAAAAAAAAATTAACAAATCCTGTCTCCTTTGGCTATAGCCTACTAATTTTTAACTGAAAAATTCAGCCTGTAATCATGAAAACAACTCCTGGTCTTCAATAGCCATAGACAAAAAGATGCATTTTCTTCCACACAGGCCCCTAGCAAGGACTAGTAGATATCACTTCCTTCTGGACAGAGTTATCAGACCTTTAGTCACAAACGTCAGTTCAGAAAATTCAGAGATGAGCAACAGCATAAGTCAAAGTACCTACAAAGAGCCGAAACACATGTGAAGAAGAACTCTTCTTAAGTTAACAGAGGAGAGCTGGTGGGCCCACTCTCCTCCACCCTACTCCCCCACCCACACTAAAAAAAACTGGAGAAGAATACATAGAATGTAAAAACGTAAGGAAAATCTGATGTTATTCTACTTTGCTTTTCTGAAACAGTATAAGTGGACATTTGAAGCTGTTTTTACATGAAGCAGATTTTAGTTGTTGGAAACAAAATATGTGGACTTCTTCTAAAGAAAGGGAAGATAAATCCTTTGGTGCAAGTTGTAGAAAAGGTGCTGGGAGTCTTTGTACCACATTCCCACATTATCTTCCCTATTTGTGTAGTGACCATTTCAACACTACTCTCCCCACCCCACCCCGAGCCCCAGTGTGATCTCTGTTCCGCCCTCCCTCAGTGCAGGATCTGGAAATATCACCAAGATGCTGGGTACCCAAAGCTGTGGAAAGTGCTGTAAGAGCTTTATTTATTTATTTTTTTTTTTCCCCTCGAGACGGAGTTTCTTGTTCCCCAGGCTGGAGTGCAATGGTGCGCTCTTGGCTCACTGCAACCTCTGCCTCCTGGGTTTAAGCGATTCTCCTGCCTCAGCCTTTCAAGTAGCTGGGATTACAGGCATGTGCCACCAAGCCTGGCTAATTTTTGTATTTTTAGTAGAGACGGGGGTTTCATTATGTTAGTCAGGCTGGTCTCAAACTCCTGACCTCAGGTGACCCACCCGCCTCGGCCTCCCGAAGAGCTGGGATTACAGGTGTGAGCCACCGTGCCGGGCCTTTATTCTTATTTCTGATGTCATTTAAATTACAAATTAAGCAAAACTTTAAAGGGAAAAAAACAAAAATAATTCACTTGAAACCAAGTTGTTGGTAAACACTGTCAATAATATTTTCTGCAGTAAGGACTAAATTGCCAGGCCTACAGTTCTGACATATCCATTGTAATGTTTTCAAGCCCAGCAGAGAAGTCCTTGTTTCTCCTGCGGTATGTGTTTAGCAGGCCAAGTTGCTTCTTGCTAGAAATGTGTGAAAAGAAAAAAGTCTCACTTTATAATAAATTAAGCTCCCTCTTCTTATACACCTGCCATATTTCATTATGGGTATTTAATATCCAAACAATGGGAAAAATTAGATGGTCAAATTTTGTTAGAGAAAGAAATAAGCTAAAAACACAACTGAAACATTTCAATTTAACTAGCATAGAAAACTCTACTGCCTTAAAATTTATTTATCAAATATATCATAGTTTAAACCTATGGGAATTACTTCTCAGGTTAAACACAATGCAAATTTCTATCACAAACACAGAAGAAATCCCCATGAAGAAAGATTTCAGCAGAAACAGGCAGGCATTGTACTGTTATTCAACTAGGAGAAAGGACAAGCTGCCAGGTTGAGAGCTAAATAATGTTTGAGGCATCCAATGTTTAAAGCTAATATCAACTTTCTTCTTTGTCTACTAGAGTTAACCATTCCCTTCACTCCCAAAGACTCTTCAGGTGGGTCAGACTCAACATACAAGCCTCAGCAACATCCTTCAGGGGGAGATCAAAGGAAACAAAACCAAATACTAAACTTTGATTATTATTTTCAGAGAAAAAACATTTAGGAAGATTCTCCACCTAGTTTTTTCATTTTTTGTTGTTAGATCTTGTTTTAGGAGGTGGAAAATGCAATCTCACCTTTGAGATCTAGGTTTCCTCAAGTGCAGAGCAATGTATTTTGTGTTCTGAATTGTTGAAGTCCTGGTAGAAAGATTAAGAATTAAGGAGAGTCATATGAAATATTGGCTGCTTTGCATCCTCTTAGATTTTTGTATTCCTTGGTTATTTCTACTTTGTGTATTTATTTTTAAAAAGTAATAAAATTTATCATTCTATGAAACTAACATTAAAGGCAATCAATGACAGAATATCATAAAATTAACTTCCTCTGAAGTGAATCTTTAATTTTTACACCAATTGGTTAAAAAGCAGTGCTGAAATACATATGACAAATGAGACTCAGATCAGCCTAAAACAGCTCTTCAAGGACCAGGAACTCGGAACAAGGTGGTAACTCTAAATGAGCAAAAATGAACAATACATTTCACT